AAACGACGATGGTGATGTACCTATCAATGATGACGAATGGGACACTGAAAATAATGATAGCGACGAAAGTGAAAGTTATTATAGTTCAAATAAAGATTAATGCAATTTATTTGTAACTTTTTTTGTAATATACATTAAATGGCTAATGCATTTTATAGGTGAATTACTTTGTAATAGGCCTGGGCACTATTTGGTATGGTTCGGTACAGAGGTGGTACCGAAACAGAACCCGTAGCAAAATTTTGGTACGGTTCGGTCCAAGTATAGGTTTGGTTCAGTTCTAGGCCTTTAAGGAACAAGGCCTGTTTTTGAGTTTTTGTAAAAAAAAAGCCCAAATTAGTTTTTGGCCCAACTAATTTGGTACTGAACATAAAACCAAAACAGAACCGACTAATCACCAAACTGAATCAATTTTGTACCGATACTGAATGAACCGAAAAAAAAAAACCAAACCGATCAAGTTCGGTTCGGTTTTCGGTATTTTTTGCCCAAGCCTACTTTGTAAATAAATTTGTTTTATTAGTATTTTATAATAAATTGTAATAAAAAGTCTACAAAAAAAAACCATTTTTAAAAATAATTGTTCGACAAACAACCCTTTTTCGTCGCGCAAGCATTTTAATTTTACGCGGGTAATTTTAATTTTCAAACACTTGCGCGACGAATACCTTGATTTCGTCGTGTAAAGGACATTTGTGCCACGAAATCACGGCATTCATCGCACAAGTGTCTGAAATTTTTTAAACCTTACGCGACAAAGCCTCTGTCACACAAGATTCTATTCATTTATTCCCATGTCTCGTCTTCATCCCCTTACTTCTCTCTTCTTCCTTTTTTTTTCCCGATACCCAATTTCTCTCCTTTCTCTTACTCTCTCGACACCATTGCAGCCCCTCTCTCACCCTTAGTTCTTCTTCCTTGACACCCTCTCACTGCCTCTCTCCGTTGCTCACCTTGTCTCTCTGCTCCTTTCTCTATCGCTCACCTTGTCTATCTGTCCCTCTCTCCAACATCGTATCTTCATCTCCAAGAGGTAATTTCCTCTTAATTTTTTTTTCAATTTGCTTTATTTGCCATGTTAATTAGGATTTATAGATCAAAGTTTTTTTATATTTTAAATTGGGGGTTAGATTAAGGTTCTTAATTAGGGTTATTGTTTTTAAATTAGAGGTTAGAATCACTATCCTAAAAATCCCTGCTTAGACCCGCCTAGGCGTTAGGCGGCTGACCACAGGCCCGGTTAATGCTTAGGCATTTGAAAATTAAGAAAGGGAGCCTAGACCTATTGGGGCGCCCGCCCAGATTCGCCTAGGTTGCAACTCACTTAGATAGAAAATAGATAACTTTCATTTTACGTTTTTTTTTTTCAATAAATTGTAAGAGACTTGTTGAATACATAAATGAACACACACTATATGCTTGTTCCCTATGTTTTCATTTTGTTCCAATACTTCATAATATATATGTTATTCTATTTTGTAGTTTATGATGAAATTATATATATTTTAGGTATAAATATATACTTATTTACACGAAATATAATGGATTTACTTAAATCCGTCTAGGCGCCTGCCTAGACCCTGTCTAGCCGCCTAGGCACTAAGCACCAGCCCGCCACCCGATTAGCGCCTAGTGTCTTTTAGAACCTTGGTTAGAATAAGGGCAATGGATTGCAATTAAGGTCTTTAAATTAAGGGTTAGAATTAGGGTTCTTAAATTAGGGGGGGTTTAATTTTAAGTTAAGGGTTAGAATTAGGGCAGTGGGGTTTGATTTAGGGTGCTTAATTTATGGGGTTAGATTTAGGGTTTTAAGTTAGGGGTTAGTTGATTTTAAATTAGGGGTTACAATTAGGGTTTTTTTAATTAGGGGATTTTTTAATTTTAAAAGTTAAGGGTTAGAATTAGGGCAATGGGGTTAGATTTAGGGTGCTCAATTTATAGATTTAGGGTTCTTAAGTTAGGGGTTAGTTGATTTTAAATTAGGGGTTACAATTAGGGTTCTTAATTTTTGGGTTAGAATTAGGGCAATGAGTTAGATTTAGGGCTGTAATGGTTTATTCATTTTAAATTTAAGTAGAAATTATTTTCCATGTATACAATAATTTTTATTTTTGTAATCTAACAAATTTATTTCCAATTTTGTAGATGTCACAACTCATTAGAAGTCAGAAGGCAATGACGACTACACCTTGTCCGATGACTACACCTCCTACTATTGCCGCCACTACTCCGGTAGAGATGGACCATAGCCTGGTGAATACGGTTGACCCAGTTGGTCCTCGAGTCCCACAGGTGCTAGCATCTTTGACTTCTTTGGTGGTGCTACCTATTAGCGCCCGATGTGCTCACCAGCGCCCCCGCACTCTGAAGCAGATGTCGCCATCAGGATCCACAACCGATGCCTTGGGTTCACAACCATGTATATTATCCTAATTAACTCCCTCATTCCCATGTTAAATTAATTTTGTTATTTTAGGTTAATTGTGTTAAGTTATGTCATTTAAGGATTAAAAAGTTATTATATATAATATTGTTTATTTTTGTCATTGTTCCCAACCCATTATTAAATTGTTGTGATCATTGTGTTGGAATACATATATTGTTTATGTTATTTTCATGGTTTGGGAAATGTTTTAATTATAGGGAGGTTCTACCGAAATTTCAGTAGCATTTGTTATTAGTTTTAGTTTTAACGTTAATTTTTAATTGGTTTACAATCAAGAAAATCACTTGGGTACCTTGTCGGCAATTGAAGACAGCAAAGGTCACCCGGGTGACCAATGATTGTATCACAATCGGATACGATGAGCGACATCAGGCTGCACCAACGATGAAGCAGCATAGCGCATTGGCCCACGACATTGGGCAATGGGCACGTTGTTCAAACCTTTTGCCCTATGCGGTGGAAGTCTTGGAAGGCGATGCCGGACGAGGTGAAGAACACGGTGCGCAATCATTTGTCGGTAAGTATCCTCGCCTTTTTAATGGTTTTCATATAAAATAAATATATTTATATTGATTAATGTATTTAATTACTAATACTTTCGTAATATTTGTTACATTGCAGATAAACTAAAATTTTGATAACATGAATGAGCACATGTTGGCGTACCTCAATCGGCTCTTCTCCGAACGGTACAAGTAGTGAAAGAGCGACCTGGTCCAATATTTAGAGGTGTTTGATGATTCACAGGTTGCTCTCGAGGAGGTTTGCCCGAAGGAGTTCGAGGACCGAGAAGATAGTTGGGTTTGGCTCTATGGTCATTTTCAAGAGTCGGGCTATGTGGTGCGTTTTTAAATAGGACTTATTTCATTTTACTTTTTGAAAATTTTACTAATATTCATTACTTTTATATATATATATATATATATATATTTTCTTTAAACATTACAACTAATATGTTTATTTTGTGTATAACAGAAGAAGACGAAGGCGAACAAGATCATTAAAGCTATATATGTTTATTTTGTGTACAACTATTTGAGACCCTTCTCATATAGGATGGAGGCGCAACGGAAGCTATATATTAAAGCTTTTGCTTCCAATTTTAAAATGTCGCTAATAATTTTTATTTATTTTTTGTTCCTGTACTAACATTTTCCTTATCTTTTTCTACTCCAGGGGGGTTTAAAATTCCCGAAAATCGACGTCTTTGCTGACGTTTATGTTCGGCACGGGGATCAATTGGTTGAGTCCCGTCATGTAAGTATTATTCAATTTTAATTAATGTCTTATGCATCCAAGTAATCTAAGGCGATGACGATATATGGAGGACAAGGCCAATAAGGCATAAAAAGTATATTTGTGAATTGCCCTTACCGTTGCCCATGCCCAAAGAGTTGCATAAGGGCAATTACTGTTCAAAGTGAATAGTAAGGGAAATTCAACTGTATTGCCCTTACCCTTGCCTTTATCCTTCCACTTGCTCTAAGGGGAAGTGATTACTACATACCATTTTTTTTTTTCCTTTGTGCATTTCTCTTAATTCGAGCCTTTATTTATTTGTTCAATCTAATAGTAGAAAAAAAAAATTAAAGAATGAAGAGACTAAAGTTTTCGTAAGTAATAAAGAATAAAAAATCATTTATCAATTGTAAAACTTGCAATATATTCAAGTTTGAACATTGCAATGCATGTTTTGGTTAAAGAACCGTTGTGACTAGCCTCTGAATACAGGCTACAGGTGGTGAGCATTATCAGCGATTACTGCACATATTTTTCCTATCAAGGTTATTAAAATGATAGTAAAATTGGGCCTTACACTTGTCACGTTGATAGTTAACAAATGACTTGAAACTTAAAACACAAAAATGACTTAAATTGTTCACGTTTTAATACTTCTGATTTTTATTTTTTTTTTCCTGAAAAGTTGGGTCTCATTTCAAAAGCAAAGTGTAACTTTTTCTTCAAATGATATTTGCTTAACACGAAATGCCACAATGACTGATTATCTTGCTGTAAAAGTTACTCTCCTTCAGACTTCCCCATTCTTTATTCACACTTGAAAAGTAAAATTTGAGCCAATTACAAATGACATCCATATAATTTGGTGTTACTTTTGAAATGAGATGCAACTTTTCAAAAAATAAAAAAATAAAAAAATCAAATCAAATCAAATTATTAAAGTATTAAAACGTGAACAATTTAAGTTATTTTTGTGTTTAACTTGAACCAACTAATCATTAGTTAACGTAGTAAAATTTTCCAACCTAATTTAGCATAAGAAGAATGGTTAAGCCAGTCCCATCATGGCACATAAACAGGTTTTACCAAGCTTCTCACAAACGTACGAAATAACTTATCGACCTCCATGGTGACTGGAGGTCGATAAGTGAACTAGTTAAGTGTACTTTGTTTGCAGTTAATCCATCATTCTCCACCGAGTTTGAGCATTAACAGTATTGAACTAGATTGATAAGAGTAACCAGAGTCGCGCCAACATACATAAAACAAACATTAATCGGACATCTTCCATAGAGACCAGGCAAAAGATCCAAAATAACAAAAGATAGAACAACTTTCCATATATATATTTGCAGTATTGAAGTGGCAAAACACAGTAAGCATTATCAAATGGTTAACAGCGTAACTCGACGGAAAAAAACCTACTAATTCCCGCACAAAATATATTCGATTTGAAGCTTCTTCTTTTTTTCAGAAAATAAAAGGTGTGGAGCTGGAGACTTTGTTTACCCTTGATTAGGGTAATCGATAGCAAGTTATTATGAACATTGTTGGCTTATGCCTATCACCTGCGAACCAACGCTGCAACAATCCCACCTGCTATAAGCCCAACAGCACTAGCAGTAATGCCTATTCCCACAAAGCCATCTGCATTCGAAACAAAGTGTTTACGATCCATCTGAATTGATGCTACAATGCAGCCAAAAGAAAACGACTAGAATTCTACTCAAAACCTTTGGCTATTTTATCCTCAACGGTCTTCTTAAGGGTCAGAGCCTGTCTCCAATCAGGGGCAATCTGCAAAGTAAATAAAACAAAAGGTTAAAAAGACAATTTTAAAACAAAATGAGCATGAATATTGTACAAACATTAGAAATCAAAATAGTAGCAAAATGCAGGTAATTACGATAAATAGTCAAAAATAAAAGACATGTAAAAAGTCAAACTCACAAAGTTTCTAACTTCAATAAATAGTCGAAATAAAAGACAAGTAAATTTCACCATGCTGATAATCAGGTAATTACGATAGATGCTCAAACACAGCACACTCAAGACTACAGAAAAGGACCACACATTTAAAGGATACCTTCGACAAGTCAACCTTTTTTAACGTATTAAAAACATATCCTACGTACAAATAGCAATGTTCTGGGTAGACTTTCACTGAATGATAATCACCCAATCATATGATAAATGCAAGACACATGAACATGTCGCAGAAAATAGAGGTGAATATGTCCCTAAAAGTTCCTAGTAAAATATGGTGCAATCTAAAGAAAATTAAGAACAAACCTCTAAGCATTGCTTCACTAGATGACGGCAATTTGAATATTCCCCGGTTCTGAAGTATCCAACAGCCAGCAGGTAAAGCTTCTCTCTTTGATGCAAAGGGGAGCTACCGTTGGCCAATGAAGCTGTACTAACAGAGAAATTACCACATTACAGGAGAAGCTATATGTAATAATTTAAGTCTTGTTTTAAAATGAAAAGGCGAATAAATGAAATAAAAATTGGTAGAATTTTGGTATGCAAAAGTTATCAATTACAAGAAACTGAGAAACGCTCGGCTTGTTGTACTCTGTAAAATATGTTGTTTCATGGATGGGTTAGGTCCCAATTTTTTATGGCGGAATGAAAAAAACAACCATCCTATGGCTAATTTTCTTGGGAGAGAACCTTTTTTATAGACAAGAATCAAGAAAGAAGATAAACTTGCATTACAAACTATGCTAACACTATCTGTTGACTCTAAAAACTACCAAGCCTACGTGGCGCACATGCCGAGTAATTAATAAGCTAACTACGTCCTTCGGTTGTGTGGGCATGCCAACTCATCGGCCGAGTTCGGCCGGGGAGTAAAATATGTTGACGCTGCGTTGAGCACGCTGCTGACTTCTTGATCTTGCGACTGCGGCAAAGGAAGGAACACGTCTCAGCCATAAGGTTCTAAAGCTTGAAGACAAGGCTGCTAGTCTTGCGAAGTTCACGGATTGTCGGCATCGGGTTCGGTCACGGTGATTATATTCGTAAGAGTATAAGCACGCCGAACTGGCACCAAACTATACGAACACAAGTACTCATGTATGTCTTGATGGAAAATGTGGTTCGGCCATCAGAATGCCGAACTCTGAAACTTACTTGTCAATATCCAATCATAAACAACTCGGCGTTCAATGTGCCAAGCCCAATAACTTGTAACACCTCACTTCGCCGAGAAGGCTAATGAGATGACCTCTCCCAACAAAGACTCGAAAATCCTTGTTAGCCGAGACTTGGATAAGTAATCAGTCGGCCTCGACGCAGTGCTATTCATCCAAACTGAAGGTGCTTTGCTGTTGGCTAATTCTACGGCAACAGTGCTGTTTATTCAAACTGAAGATGTTCGCTGGTTGCCTTCACAGTGCTGTTTATCCAAACTGAAGATGTGTTGGCGGAAAAAGAAAATAAAAATCTCAAGGTTGTTGAGAGGTTTCGCGTAGAGGAAGAGTTTGCGCAGTGCAGTTTGTGTGTTGAATTGGAGAGGGGGCTTTCTGTTTTCTACGCATCTCGTATTTATAGGATATCACCCTGATGGCTAGTGTTGTAAAGCTGCCGTCAATATCAAAGCTTCCTCCTTCATAACAATCTCAGGCAAAACAAAAGATTGTTATGCCTTATCACTTACCAGCATGACACCACCTCGTGCTAATTAATAGCATATACCAATTATTAGCATATATCCTTGCGTTGATAAGCATCCTGATTTGAAATATGCCAATGATATGCACATATGGCTGACCAACTCCAAGCACACGTGGAGGATATTCTTTGTTGATTCACACGTGGCTGACCAACTCCAATTTGACATCCTTATCTTTATGCATGCATTAACCTCTCTGCCAATCAATATCCACTTGCCAACCAATGCCACAATGTATTAGGACTCTTGATAGAATGCTCCGATGCTCTAATCCACCACACGTCTAAATTCCAAGAACCCCAAATCAAATAAAACTGCATTGCTTGCTTTCAAGTTGGAGATATAATTTGCATCTCATCTATCTTGTACAAGAAAATATCAAGATAATCCACCATTAAAAGATAACATCATGATTAAAAGCACAATATATCCTACAATAATAACAATTCTTTCAATCCAACGGCTCAAAATTTTACTCATTCTACGGCCTCGATTGCTTGGGCCGATAGTGTAAAATCGGGTCCAAACACTATCAATCCTTGTTCAACAGAAATAGAATTGGGTGAAAAGAGAGGGAAAATGGGCACTACCCATTTCCGCACTGTAATATACAGTCTATAAAAAGAAGCAACATAAATGCTCGTTCTTGGAATGCAGAATAGGTTGAATGCCTTTCGGCATACAATCAAGAATCAGTACAGACCCTAAAGTTTTTATTTATTGTTTTTTGTCTGTATTGAATTAAAAGATGCCAAGACGGACATAAAAACAGATATGGAAGAACAATGAGGGATGTGAGAATAAATAACTGATCAACCATTCAAACATGTTTTTAGGTTTTATATTTTAAGAAACATGTCTATGCCTTCTCTCTACTTTCCCCTTCATACCTCTCTACTCCTTTTTATCCCCATCTCCCCTCTCCCTCTTCAATAATTATCAAACAGAAAACGAAGGGTCCGTTTGATGAACATTTTTTGTTTATTTTGTGTTTGAGACAGAGAGGAAATACAGGGTAGAAATGAGGGATATAAAAGAATGGACGAAGGACAGTAGGAGAGACGCACAAGAAACACATAAGCAAAGGCTTAATCTAAGTTATTTTCACTTTTCAAGATTTAGTTTTTATTCGTTGTTCTCTATTTCTTCCCTGCTCTCCCACCTCCCTTCTCCATCCCTTTTGTCCTGGTATACTTTCCTCATATCTCAAACACAAGAAGTAAAATGTAAAAACGAGATGATTAATAGATAGACCCAAAAATGTTACCAAATTGGCGAACACTAGAGTTACACAACACTACGTCATATAACTTTGGCAACACTTTTAATCAGGAGGTATTTGTCGGTTTGCCCCCTCAACTTGTATAGAAGTGCCAATTTCCCTGAACTTTTATAATTAGACAATTTCCCACCTGAACTTTAACTTTGGCCGATTAACCCCTTAAAATTTTATAAATAGACAATTCCCCCCTAGTGTTGGATTTGAAAATTTTCATCAAATTTTCATCCATCCAATTTTTCATTCTCTTTGCCCCCATACAGTTGTCATGGGTTGTCCGCGTGATCAAAGTGGATAAAAATGAAACTTTTTAAAATCTAGTGTCAAGGGAGAAATTGACTATTTATAAAGTTCAGGGGGTAATCGGCTAAAATTAAAGTTCAGTGAATAATTGGCTAAAATTAAAGTTCAAGGAGAAATTAACATCTCTATACAAATTGAGAAATTTTGAAAAATAACCAATTTTAGATGCATGAATTGAATTTTAACCACACTTACTAACTTCTTATAATTTTAACCAAAAACTCAAGTAAAGGTCTTAATTATCCGTAATAATAGAAATTCCCCAAATTTAGAGAAAACCCTGTTCTATCACTTCACATTACAGAACACAACACAAAACCCATAAAAGGAAACCTTGTATCCAAACAACAAGTCACCCAACACAAAACCCAGAAAAGGAAAACCTTGTATCCAAACAAGAAGTCAAAGAAACACACACAAAGTCCAATTTTAAACGAAGCACTCTTCCCTGTCATTTCACAATGCACAACCCATCACAAAACCCAAGAAAAGAAAACCCTGAATCCAAACTGCAAGTAACATACTCACACATGTACAGACATGATCATATAGAATTCCAAATAAAGGAGGCTTATGAAATCTCCTTCAAAATTTCTTAATTTTATTGCAAACCAAACACGAAAGGTAGTGTTGGGTACCATTCATTCATGTTCTTTCTATTCAATGCCATACATGTGCCTGCTTAGTTAAGTAGTCTCCAATTATCAACTTAGAAGATGATAAAGTCCTAAGAGGCCAAAGTCGGAGCCAAGACTGTTTTCCGGGTGGCCTACACAGAAATCAGGCTAAGTAATACTGTTGCCTACACCTCCGAACGGAAAGGATATGGATTGCTAAGGGTAATTAAGACTTTTTATCTGAGTTTTTGGTTAGAATCATAAGAAGTTAGAAACTTTGGCTAAAATTCAATTCGTGCCTCTAAAATTGACTATTTTTCAAAATTTCCCATACAAGTTTAGAAGCCAAATCGACAAATATGCCTTTAAACAACTAGAGAAAATCAATAATGAATAATCGTGAAAGTAATCACAAATTCAATGGTCAAAGAAATCGAAAACACCAGCTCAAAAGCACAAAACCAAATAAAAAAATAGAGATAAAAGGGAATTTACTAAGAACATGTATCCAATTAACAAAAGCAATAAGCTTAGCCAACCTAAAAGGTAAAAACTTTCAGAATTAAATTAAAAATTAGATGAAATGCAGATTATAGGTATAGCCATTAAAAATAATCATTAAGAAAAATGTTACCTTCAAGCATTGCAATTCCACGCTGCACATCTTCAGGTTGCCTTGAGTGAACAAGCGCCCATGACAACCTCATTATGCTTTCGCTCTTGTGTTCATCTGAGTCACCCTTGTTGGCTTCTGCTACTTCTTTCTCGCACCCCTAATAATTTTAATTAAATCATAAAAATAAAAAAATGAAGAATTTGCATGAACAAGGAGGTACTCAATAGATTAAAAGCAAATAAAAGAGGAACCCAGATCTTCGTTTGGATTTCCTTTGGGAATTTTCTGGGGAAACAAACTGGAAATGAGCAGTGTATTGTATGGAACTTACGTGGATGACGTCGCGATCGCACCAGGGGATCTCATCGCTGCCGCTGAAAAGGTTAGAGACGGAATCGAAGAACTTGTTGAATAACTGTTCCATTTTTGTGAGATTTCTCAAATAATGAAATATGATCGACTCTCAATTCGCAGGTAGGGCCTTCCCCTTGGGGATTGGATTGGATTGCTATTTATAGGTTTGCCAGTGGATATTGTCATTTTTTTTTTTAACAAACGGTATTATTTAAAAATAAAAAGTAAATAAAAAAAATTAAAAAGTGAGCTAAATCTTATAATGAGTTTGCCATAATAATGTGAAAGATCCACGTTGACACAATGAAGAAATAGGAAGCACCAGTATTTTGACTTTAAATTCTTACAAAAATGATAGGAAAGTGAGCTAAATCTTACAATTGATTTGTCATAATAATGTGGAAGATCCATGTTGACACAATGAAGAAATAGGAAGCACCAATATTTTGACTTTAAATTCCTACATTGAGTGGCATGGATATAAGAACCATAAGAGAATCCTCGCTCGAAATTTTTTGAATAAATTATTCAAAATTACCTTAATTATGAGTCGCATAACAGTCTCATATCTGACATTTTAAATATTACAATGCCATACCTCATCACATAAATTTATTGTAATGTCATTCCTCCATCAGTTTTTCTGTTAAATGTTGACGTGACATGAGAAGATCCTACTTATTTGCTTATTGAAATAAAAAATTAATTAATTAAGAAATTATTTGTTATTTTTTTAACAATTAATATTAATTAAAAACAAATAATTTTGTGAGCTCCTCGTCCCAAACTCTCCCTTCTCTCCCCAACGCTCACATCTCTTTCTTCTGTGTTCACAGAGAAGCCAAGCTCAGAAAACGGCCATACACTAGCCGGCGATTTCTGCAGCGACTGGTCGTCCGTTCGTTGCTTTATCGCCTGGCCAACCGTGTGATTGGGTCGACCTGGTCTGGGTCGCAGGTTGCACTGCTGCAACAACTGAATTCTGCAAGTAAGAAGACCGGAAAATTTATGCTCCGTTCAACCTCAAATCTCAACCAAAACACATGAAATTTTTATCTCAAAATGACGATCACAGAACAAGGAATAGAAATATACTCTTTTTAGGCCAAATCGTGGTAGGAAAATGGCCTGAGAACGGCCTGAGCTTGTCAGCCCGAAACTGGGTTTGTGGCTTCTCGCATAATCGAGGCAGATTCGAGCCTCCCATGCTCTAATCTGAACCTTAAGATGAAGGGGAAGTGATCCGTGGTCCTAGGCTCGCCCAATCAGACGAGGAATTGACAGATTTTCATCAGGAAACCGCGAGGTGGTGGTGGCATCCATCTGTGTTGTTGTACCGAGAAGATGCGAGGTTAGAGAAACTGGGAAGTTGAGCGTTGAGGGAGAAAAGAAGAGAGAGCGACACGGTTGTGGTGGTGGTCTGGTGGGTGGCCATCTGGGCTCGGCTTCTCTGTGAGCACAGAGAAGAAAGAGATGTGATCATGTGAGCGTTGGGAGAGAATGGAGAGTTTGAGGGAGAAAGATAGAGATTTGGATGAAGGGGTCCACAAAAATTGTTTGTTTTCAATTAATTTTATTTGTTAAATAAATAAAAAATATTTTTTTATTAATTAATTAATTTTTTATTTCAATTAGCAAATGAATGGGTGGCTCATGCCACGTTAGCATTTAACAGAAAAATTAACAGAAAAGTTGACAGTGGTATGGCAATGTAACGAATTCATAAGATGAAGTATGATATTGTAATGTTTAAAATATGAAGTATGAGATTGTTATACGACTCATAATTGAAGTAGTTTTGTGTAATTTATCCAACTTTTGATTATGCTCTGTTTTATAGCATATGCAATGAAATAATGTAAACTCAAAATTTCTATTTTAAACATTTTGGTCTATTGATGTAATATTTCTCTTCATTTGTAAGTGAAATGTCTTAGATTCCAATCTCGAGAACAGCAAATTCGCAACAAATTTATTCTCACACCTTTTAAGTGACGATATATCATTGTATCAAATGTTTGGTTAAGTAGTCTAAATTCTAACAGTGTAAAACCCGTTATATCATACTCCGTTGCATAATAGAAAAACCTATTTGACAATGGGCAACCAATGTAACTGAAGGCTTTAGGTGAAAGTGTATGCAAATTGGGTAGTGTGTTATGCTAGAACTTTCACTCCATGCCATTTACTTGTGTTAATTTTCCTATACAAAGTGTATGCAGACTGATACAAAGAAAGCAATACTCTCACACTCACTACAGGTTTTCTCATCTTCTTGTATTTTTTAACACATTGTCAGTACAATAACAATTTATGAGAGAAGGAGAAAGAATGGGATGGGAATAGGAGGGGAGAGAAGCCTACTCCTATTTTAATCCTTTGCAAATTTGCTTTGTTGTTCTTTCTACATCTCTTCATCACCAGTTATGTGCTCATGTCTTATTCCTACGACAACGTGAAAATGCGTTGCTCTCTCATTGTTTGTACGTTGTCAAGTCAACTGCTTATCTGATTTGTTAATTGGTTTACCAACGAGTTAATTATAATGTGAATGGTGCATTATTTTCGCCCCCATTCTCGTAAAATTATTATTTTTCAATTGGGTAAATCTCAGTTTACTACCTCAAGTTTCATGGTTTTCAACATTTGGTACATGAAGTTTTTTTCGTCCCAGAGTCATACCTAAAGTGTTAATTTTGAGACAGTCTCGTACATCCGTTAGTCTGGCTGGATTTGGGCTTTACCTTTCCTCCACCTCACAACCCCTCTTTCTTCCTCTTATTTTCGAGAGCCACCAAAGCCAATTTCCCAATTCAGCACCACCGCCTGGGTTTTCTCTCTTTCTTCTCTATTGATAACAACAATGGGGAAGTAGAATTGAACTCCTCCCTCTTTTTTTGTCAACGGTAGCAAGAAAATGGGCAGCGCCATTGTACATGGATGCCACTTATGTTGCCATGTGCTTATATCCAGAAACCATCCAGGCCAAAAACCCAAAAACCGTGTGCTTAAATCGACCTTACGACCTAGAAACCATCCACGCCCATTTCTCATCTATGTTCAGATCTTACCTCAAATCTTAGAACCCATTCATCACTGTTCTGACCCCACTTCGAATCCAACGACTTGTCACTGTTGGAATACCTTCTATTTCCCCAACAACTCTCTGAAAATTGAAAAAGACAAGGTTTTTTTGGGGGATTCTGGTGCGATGAAGAAGCTGAACCCATAGCCAAAGAAGGAAGCAGGTCATCCAATTTGGCGCCGATCTTCCCACGAAGCCCCTGAAGGTCATCCAATGGGTTCGACTATTTAGGGAAGATTGTAATGGGTACATGGAGCAGAGGAGGTGGAAGATGGTTTCGAGGGCATGGAAGAATTGGTAGAATCGATCAGTGAAGAAGGAGGTTTCTGGATATGGGAATGAATTTTGGTTTTTTTTCCTTTCATTTTTTTATTTTTAAAAATTTTTTACGTTTTGAATTTTTTTTTAAATTTTAAATTTTTCTAAATTTTTAATCCTTTTATTATTTTTTTTTTTTAAAATTTTTAATTTTCACATGGACCTCTTAATGACACATGACGCCAGTCATTGTCTACATGGGCATCATGTCATCAGTTAACAAGAGACTTAACAACTAGACTAACGGATGTATGAGACTGTTCCAAAATTAACACTTTAGGTTTTACTCTAGGATGAAAAAAACTTCATGTACCAAATGTTGAAAACCACGAAACTTGAGGGTAGTAAATTGAGATTTACCCTTTTTGATTATATGATCACATTAGTAATACTCAATACTGATGGCAATATCTGTGTAAAGAGTATTGCTAATTGTTTAATAATTTGTAATACACGATACATCCGGCAATACATGTGTAATGAGTATTACTCGTTGTTTTATGATTAATGGTTGTTTATATTTAAAGTCACATTGATATAATCACTTAATACTACGGTCTAATTGTATTCCTCTTCACTTGTAAGTGAAAAGTATTAGAATCGATTTTCACCAAAAGCTAATTTGAACCACATTGCTAACCTATTATGAGGCTAAGCCCACCCATGTCCCTTTTAGTTTAGATAATATTGTTTGTTAAAAAAAAAAAACAAATATACATATATATATATATATATATTCACACTGATATAAACAACTTGTGTGGTGTAATTATGCATCTATAATTATTACTACCTTATATTAATTGTAATTCATGCACAACTAAATAAGAGCTTGAGGTCACAAAATGTGAACCCAAAGTTGAAAGTTAGAGTGCATATCATGTTGGCCTAAAGTTCCAAGTGAAAATCATGTTAAGAACAAACTTGAAGTTGTAACTATGTATTATATTCCTCGAGAATTCATATACTAATGTCCACATCCTTTACACGTCTCATTTTGGCCTAAAGTCAAATATTGCTGCAAAATATGTGTACGAACTTGACAATGTACTAATTGTGAAGCTTAATATAATTCCAAAAATTTTAGAGACGACACATGGACTTTTGCCCATGAAAGACAAAATTGGCCTCATTAAATGGGCAGGCTCCTCAAATACTTTCACGCACAGCTCACACATCTGAAGGTCCCAGCAGCTGAATACGATTGCCCACAGCTCATCTGCCATTGACAAGGAAAAGTCAAAGCATTAATTAATTACTCAAATCCTATCTTTAATACATTCTCAATTGAAGATTGATTTCATTCTAATAAGTAATCCCAATTTAAGTTAATCAGGGATAATTACTCCATTTCAAGATATTATTTCCTATTCAATATCTTGAGAATATTTCTCCATAAACCTTGGCCAATAGGATGTCGCCATGTATAGGGTAAACCCTAACACTATGGCCAGACCTTCCCTCCTATATATACCCCTTATTCTACCAAATTTCAAAAGCTTTTGCTACCCTAAAAATCCCTAAACACTTTACTCTCCTTAGAGAAACTGACTTAGGCATCGGAGATCCGTTGGCCTAACCCCCTACCTCGTGGGCTAGTGAGACCTAGGTCCTTGATCAAAGGTGTTGATTGTTTTGTAGGTGCATTTTCGTCAAGATTGAAGATGACGGAAATTTGCATCGACAAATTGGTGCTTTCATTGAGAACTGATTCAAATACTCGAAGAAGCTTCATGCAT